CTGCCAGTTATAATTATTTGCTTTCATATACATGAATATAAGGTAAAATTTGAAGGAGCCTGTTAATAAGAGATGAAAATATGACTGCACATATTTATATTGTATATAAGTCATTTGGGCCAAGTGTTGAATTTTCTTTTCAAAGAACTTTGTTTATTATTAAAAACAGTGATAAACAGTTACCATATTTGCCGGCATTAAGAACGCAGTTTTTTGCCTGAAATAAGTCTTTAAAATTTGCTGCGTGTCCTTGAGGACGAAGGTTAGGATTTTTGTAAGCCTAAGAGGAAGGTTATCTATGCTAGACAGTAAACTGAATTCCTATTATTTCAGGAAAAAGAACCAAAAAAACTGTGACGTCGGCAAACAATAATAGAACTAAAATTACCGCAAGGGCTTTAATTTTTGTAGTTTTTCTGGGCATTAAAACATCATCTGCATTATAAATTAGTCTGTGTTAAGAATGGTAACATGGATGCTAGTAAAATGAATGTATTGTAAGTTAGCTGTCTGTAATTTGTTAGTTTTGTGTGTTACAGATACTACCCAGCTTTTCATTACTAATTGGTACATATTATATTACTTCATTTAGTAGTAGTAAGTAATGACTGTTTTTTGTATGGCTGAAGCTGACAATTACTCTTCGTACTTTCCCATTTATGGATTTCAACTGAACAAAAAAATTATTAGGTACTAAAATTGCTCATGAAAATTTCACAGTTTTCTAATTATAATTTTCTGATGAATTTTATTTCTTAAGTTAATGTTTGAATAAACCCATGGTAAGTTCTACAATGGCAAAATATTCGTAGAAATTTCCATATTGCATTGTTAAATATTTGAGCTTAACAACTTTAACAAAATATTGCAATAACAATCATAAATATGAATGCTGGTTGTTATTTTAAGAAGTAAGGGGGTACAAATGAAAAGATTTGAAATTGACAACTTTTTCCATTTCACTGAAGCAGATGTTAAACACATGAGTGTGTTATCTTTATCTTTTTATTTTCTCACTGAAACCAAGTAGATTCTCAGTCCTGGGTAAGATGATAAACTACGTCCAACAGCAAAGCCTCTGATCAGGAGGTTTTGAGGAGCATGGCACCACCTCTTAATTGCTGGTGTTCCCAGGTCCACCCTAAACTGGGTTGGCAGCACCTGTTAGGGTCCCAGCTATGGGCAAATAGTTAACCCTGAAACTGAGGTAAAAAGCATTATAAAAGTGTAAAAATATGTTTTAATACCAGAAATACTTTGTAAAAAATTATTACCAGAAATAAATATTTGAAGAAGAAAAACTATTACCAGCTATACATTTTTGAGGAAAAAAATATTACCAGAAATAGATTTTTTAAAAAACAAAAGATTACCAGGAAAAAAAGTTGTCGTCATTAAATAACCCATTGAGGTTGATATGCTGTAAAACAAACCAAACCATCACCTACCATTATTTACGAGAGGGCACAGAATCCCCAATATGCACTACATACCAAGAGAAATTTACAGTGAAACATATACTATTAGAGTGTGTAGATTTTGATCTAGTGCGAACAAAATATTACCAAGTGAGTAATTTAAAAAAAGAAATTTTTATGAAAATAAAACCATCCAAGATTGTAAATTTCCTAAAAGAAGTTGCATTGTACACAAAAATACGAGTAATTGAAAAATGGTTTAAATATATATATGTATACATACGCACCTTTTTTACCAAACTATTGCTATGAATCTATTTCAAAATTATGTTGGCATTAAATGACCCACTGAGGTTGATATGCCATAAAACAACCAACCAACAAGTAGATTCTCTGATATCGTTTCCATCTTTCTATGTGATCAAAATGGGATAGTTCATTATTTATAAGGTATTGACAGGGAGTACTGTCTGTGCTAATTAAGGGAGCAACAAGCAGAATTATAATATGATGTATGTATGTATAGATCACCAGAAAATTTACTCCCCCACCCCATAATTTTTCTTTTTATGTTCCAGATTCTAATCTGCTTTCATTTTTGCCATAATTTTGGGCATTTTTCTTTGTTCTTGGAAAATTAATAATTTTGATATTTCTCCTCAAAAGTTATTTAAATATTTACTTAAACTTTGCTATATATCCCTGTGCTAAAATAATGTCAGTGAGAGTGGTAGGGAAGAATCTGAAAGAACAGAATTGGTATTATTCTTTCATCTTAATTTTTGTGGCTTTTCCTTGCAGCTATTCAGACTGTCAGTCTGTGGCCATTAGTAAGCACAATGGATCATAAATAAAGAATAAGCTCTCAATTGACAATACTTCATCTAATCGATACTATAAAAGAATAGCTGATTATCTGTTTGTCACACAATGTCTGTGAGTGACTTTACATGTGTTTATGTAATGTATATGTCTGTTGTGTATGAATGACTTACATGTGCTTGTGCCATTTAATATATGAACATACACACACAGTTTGACTGAGTTTGATATAAGACATATGAAATAATACATTCATAAATAGAATTATTTTTTAAAGTTAATTTTTTTAATTTAGTAAAAATATTTTTAGATCTGTCATGGAATTAAAATATACGTGTGTTAAATAATAGTTTAGCAGACTATTATATTTAGAGGAAGTGTATCTCAACTCCGACTTCTGGGGTCAGATGTGAGCCATAATAGGGAAGTCGATTTTGATTGGGAGCCAGCATGGGAAAGGGATAGGAGAAAGGGTTTGGCAAGTTGTTTCTTACCCATCAAGCGATGTAGATGTATTCTCTTTCATGTCCAATATGGCTCCCCAGTGTGGGGGGTGGGCACTGGATAGTTAGATAATGATTAATAAAAATAGTCATGTTAACATTCTCTGTTTTGGAGTATTTCATTGTTAAACCAAAATGATTAGCAATTGCCAGCTGAGATCATTCACTGCTGTCAGCGTGCTTGCAAACGTACACACACTTTACATGAAATTGAAATGTACATCTTTGTCATGATAGTTAACCTCTGGGTAACAGGAAAAAGAGTATTCACCTAAATGTGGTACTTTTTGAAGTCATTTTTATGACTCTTTATGGATCTGGAATTGGAATATGTTTTCTTATAAATGTTTGTCTATTTAAAATATTACAATTTAGATTTAAATTTTGATTATCTTGCTGTCAGCAAAACAGGTACTTAAGAAGTGAAAGATAAAATCAATAAACTTAACATATTTGACAGCATACAACATTCACTTTTTCTTTTCAATAAAATGAAAAATATCTCCCCATCAGTAATGTATACAGATAAGATACACTTCTAGATTATGAGAAATTTTCAAATATTTCTTGACTGAAATTAGGAGCTTTCTTAAGAAGTCATTTTTATTTTTTTTATTTTTGTCCACTCATAAATGTGGCAAATTTGACCAGTTTTTAAGTTATTTCTTTTTCGTTTCACAAATCAACTTTCATTTTTTTCCCAAGAGTTGGCCATTTTATTCTCTTATGTTTGACGATTAACTTATTTTGTTATGTTACTTATTATAAAGCGCACATTGTGTGTGTGTGTGTGTGTCTGTAACGTTTATATATTGGATCGGATTTCCTACACTTTTCAACCGATTTCAACAAAACTTCACAAGACTACATTAAATTACCTTGTGGTGGTTCTAACAGCGCCAAAAATGGGAAAAATACAATTGTTTTGGCACAAAATCAATTTGAAAACACGATTGAAACATCATGAGAATGAAAGGGGGACAACTCACATCGGGTTATTTGTGTGTGTGTGTGTGTGTGTGTGTTCCTTTAAATATGGGATCACATTTCCTCCATTTTTCAGCCGATAAAACAAAAATTCACTTTTTTTTTTCTTTTTTTTTTTTAGCAGGTAGTGTGTCTTATTCTCTTGCACACTTTTTTCTTTATTTTTAATATTCAGAATGCTTTAAAAATTCCATTTACAAGGCAACTGTTTATAATAAAATTCTATTCAATCGGGAGACTCATAAGGATTGAAAACAATGTTTTTGTTTGAGTTTGACCAATTCGTAAAAAAAAAAAAAAAACTAATTAAGACATGCGTGTCTGTCAACCTTAAACAATAATCTAACGATCTCTACTGATTGTATGAATCCAAACATCGGATAATTCTTTATCTTTAGGGAAAGATAATGAAATCTAAACACACACAAGTACTCCTAACTAAAAATAATAACCGGAAACTACTTTAGTTTAAATACACATGGTGTCCAATTTTTTTTACTGTATTCAATAAGTAAAAATCATAAATTGTAAAAGATTATTATTACAGAAAGGCTACTAAATGAATAAGATTTGTTAGATCATAATTAATAAACCCAAATAAAGTTAATATTTTTTGTATTAGAAACAACGAGTGGAAAATATATTCAAATCAGAATTCTAATCATGAATCACCACAAGCAAAATATGCAATTTTTTTTTACTGTAAACAATAAGTAAAAATTATAAATTGTAAAACTAAAAGATTACAGAAAGGCTACCTACATTTTTCAACCGATTTCAACAAAACTTCACTTTTTTTTTGGCATGTAGTGTTTCTTATTGTCTTGCACATTTTTTTCTTTATTTTTACATTGAGAATGCTTTAAAAATTCCATTTACAAGACAATTGTTTATAATATTTAATCAGTAGAGACTCATAATGATTGAAAACAATGTTTTTGTTTGGGTTTGACCAATTCGTAAAAAAACAAAACAAATTAAGACATGCGTGTCCATCAACCTTAAACAATAATCTTTGTCAATTTTATTTTTCAGTCTTTATGATGGTGGATAATTGATCTATCTCTTACTGTTATATCCCTGGGCAACGCCGGGCTCTACTGCTAGTTTATACTAAAAAAAATAGTTTAATTTTGAGAACTTTGGCAACAAATGAAGAAAGCTGAAGAGATTATTGGCCAAATGTAGTTATTGAAACAAAGATGTGGATATTTTTTTTAATAATTAATGGAATAATGACCTTACATCATCTCGGAACTTATAACACCGGATGCATCACATAATTAGTTGTTTCACTGTAATCTATCTTTGTTGTATCATATTTTGGGGTAAGATTAAATGTATGTACTTATATGGAGCCAATCAGCTTGTTCATCATCATCATTTCACCTATTAAACTCCTGCTGTCTTAGTTTAGCAAAGGCTACAAGTTGAAGCCACCTGCTCTGATCAATGTAACTGCTCAGGATTTGTGCCAAGTTGTATCTAGGTATGAAAATCTTTTATTTAGGGTAACTTTGTTAGTCTCTCTGGGTCATCCCTGTAGAGGGTAATATTTGGGAAGAAAGTAAACATAAATGTTCATGTGGAGGATGGAGCCACACAATATGTGTTATTGTTTTTATGTGCTTGTCTCTGTGAGTGTAATTTTATATATATATATATATATATATATATATAAATAAAAGAAAAGGGAAAACTTATCAACTTATCTTAACCAGTATTTTTCACTATCTGAGACTTTATCAAGGCAAATGCAAGGATTTTATTTCATTACAAGTATTTATTGATAAATGTTATTTTTTCAAGATTTTTAAATTTAAGAAATGCTTATACATATTAATCAACTTAGCTGAAAAGTCTAGGTAAGTTATTGAGGATGCTAAGTGATATAATGTCTAGTAAATGAAAGATATATATGAATGGGCATTTGTATGTGTGTAAGAAAGTGATATATCTAAGCCACAAAATATTTTATGTGAATGCTTGCTTATATACAGTATCATTCATAAATAAGTACACTCATTCCAATTTTATTCTCAACTAAACATCAGAATTTTATTATTTTAAGTGGAACATTATGAAAAAAACAAATACGATTAGGTATTATTTATTACCAAACTTTATAGCATTGAAACTCTGCAATCAAAAATGTGACTATATAGAAAGCCCAAAATAAATACATCCCACTGTGAAAGAAATTATTTAAAATCAATATTTGGTGTGGCTACCTTTTTATTTATTTATTTAAAAAAAAAAATATTAATTCATTAATTATTAATGCTTTTAATGTTGACTTTACTAGATTTGTACAATCACAAGAATTTCTGTTCCACTCTAACAACATTTAATATTTCAATTCTATTTTATTGAATGGTAGTTTTTTTTTTTCTATTTTTTATTTAAGTACATCCACAAGTGCCTTATTAAATCCAGTGACTTGCTCAGCCAATGGAAAATTCTTACCCTTTTTTTTATTTTTTTTATAAAAACTGTAGTTTTTTTCGGCAGTATATTCTGCATTATTATAATGGAGGAATATAACTCTTCTTTCCAACTGTTTGAATGAAGGCAACCTGTTTTCTTTCATTTATGTCATATTTATATTAACATTCATGATTCTGTCAATGAAATGCAAAATATCAGTGATATTAGAGCTCATACAACTCCAGACCATGTTATTCTTACCATCATGTTTAACTCTTGAGACCAAACAATTTTCCATGTACAAATAATCATGCTGCTAAACTTGTTGGACGCCATCAGATCCAAACAGGTCCCAAAGCTATAAATTTTTACCTTTATTCTCTTGTGCAAATTTTAAATGATCCTATTTGTATAGCAAATTCAGTGGCAATTTCTACCATGATTATAAGTCATGCCAACTTATGTTGTCGATTGTTGCAATCAAAATATTCATGGCATATATATATATATATATATATATATATATATATATATTTTTACACTTTGTTAGCTACATCTGCAGATGAAAATGTTCAGCACTTATATGTAAAGAAGAGAAGTTGCATAAATCTATAGAAATTACCAGTGACTGTGTAAGTGATGCATCCTTGTTTCAAAGAATGCTGCAGTTGAAGAAATAAAATAAAGGCATTTTTAAACATGTTCCAGGAAAGTTTTTTTTTTTTACACTCTAAGAGGATGCAGTCTTTCGGTTCTATCTTATTGGATGTTCGTTATTTTTCATACATTCCGCAATTGCTCAAACGGATTTCAATCCGCTGACATACTTTGCCAATCAACAACTTTAACCTTTTTTTTCTCTAAGCATTTGAGTGAAAGCAACATCGTTTCTTTAAATATTTTGACATAATCTCCCAACATTTGTGATTCATCTGATGAAATGCAGTTCACTAATGCCATTAGAACTTCTACAATCCCAGATCTTAATGCTTCTACTGCCATTGCTTAACTATTGATAGTAAACACTTGTAGACCTTACCATGATACTGACAAAATAATTGGATGACAGAACAAAATAGATTGATTTTTGTTTAACTTGACTATGCGGTCCCCAAATGTTGACTTATCTTTATTCTTCTGTGCAAGCGAGCTTGTTTGTATCTTGAATTAAGTAGTATCCTCTACGAAGAGTTTGGGTCTTAAAATACACTTACTAGATAAAAAGAAATAAACTTCTACATATTCATTGCTTTTTAGGCAATTAGTCAAAGTGCTCAATATCATTAATAATACCAGATTGAATTAAATCTTTATTTGTCTATCCTTACTCTGAGTTTTAAAGAGATGTATCCATTCTTCAGATGTTTTGAGAGTAAAATTGAATTTATTTACAGAAATAATGTTTTTCTTATTTATATTTACATTTATATCAATTCACCTGATGGGTACATTTTCTGCAAAACTTAGAGTAAAGATAGTAAATTGAACACTTAATTTTATTCATTACTATAATATATATATATATATATATATATATATATATATATTTTCAGATAGAGTATATCTGTAAAAGGACCATATGAATAAAGACAAAAGGAAAACTTACCTTAGCCAACACATTTCATCCTCTGAGAGACTTATCAAACCAAATGTAAAGATTTTATTTTGTGACAAGTATTTATATGCAAGAGAAAAATTTTTATTTCTTTTTCAAAATCCTATACCAAAATATTTTGAATAACCAATCACATTTTTGCTCTTGTATATAAATATTTGTTACAAAATAAAATCCTTACATTTTCCTTGATAAAGACCGTCAGAAGATGAAATGCATTGGCTAAGATAAGTTTTCCTTTTGTTTTTATTCACACACATATATATACATACATATACGCAAAAAATATATATAAATTTTCGTTGCTTTACATTAAAAGAAACAAATCCACATTAATAAAATTTATTTTGATGTAATTACTCACATGAAAAAAAATGCCTTAAGATTATATTCTTCACATGATACTAAATTCTTTTCTATAGTAATAACCTATTGAACCCACATCCATATGAAGTTTTAACTGATTACAATATAAATCCTTATCTGGGTATTTCTGTACTTTTAATCTTTTTTTCTTTGAAAATGACCAATAATGGTCAGTATTTAGATTTCAACCTTTAATTTGATCAAGTACATTTACATGTTTTCACCTTGAAAAAAAAAACAATCAACACAGGAGAAAATTACCAAAAGGCTCAATAGAAATACATATTGTTAGGAATTTTGAAATATATCCTCCTCTATACTGACATATTTATTCTTGGTTTTGTTGTTTGCTGTAATCCTAAACTCTTGTGTTTTCTGTTTGTATTTTGCCCGTCATGTCTTAAACTACGGAATTTTTATGTCCTGCTTTTCTTCTTTCTACCCTGATGTGAATTATGATTTTTATTTTAATTTGTATTCATATGTTTGTGCAGTTATATTGGACTCACCTGTCATCTTCGACATATAAGTGTCAAGCAGCTCAGGAATCAACAGCCAGACTACCTGCACATATAATTTGATTATAGTGATGAAAGCTTGTGCAGAACTAATTACACTTTTTGGAAGAACCGATTATAGAGAACTATTTACCCATAGCTGGGAGGAGAAGAGATGGAATCATACCTTTCTCAATCATATTAGCCCATAAGTGGATGTAATGTACTTGACTGAATTTCAAACTCAGCTCTCCGATTCCACAATCTGAGCTGCTATCCATTAAACCACTATGTGTGTGTGTGTGTGTGTGTATATATATATATATATATATATATATATATATATATATATATATATATAGCTATGGTATGCTGTATTTTATGGGTAAAAATGCTCAATATCAGAGATAGTGTATGTAAATATAAAAGTGAATGCAGAGTGTGTTGTTTTGGTTTGACTATTTATAATTGTTGGTCAGTGGGGCATTATCGGTAGTAAGTTCTGTTGTATCATCCTGACAGTTATTGGGTGAGCAGTTATATTATATTAAAGATCATTGTTTGTTTTTTAATTTCTATTTTTCATTATTTTGCCTCAAAAGAGATACACACACATGTGCATGTGTGTCTTCCTGACATTTTTGGGCAAAAATGAAATTTGAAATTAAAAAAAAAACAAAAAAAAAAACAACAATCATGCGTTTACATATACAATTTCTGTACCCTGAATATATTTCAATTTAATCAAGTTTAAATGTATATTTAATATAACTAGAGTAAAGTATCTGATCACAAAGTTCAATATATGCACAGTTTCCAAAATATGGTTTATATTAACAGTACTCAGACGCCATATTAATACACTGCTTGGGTATTAGTCCAGGCCTGTTCTCTCATTTGCTTACAATTGTACCTGTACACGGTGAATATCATCCTGCAATTATTCCACACCTCTTGTACCTGTTAAAGCAATACAGCAAGTGTTTTAGTCAGACTAAGTGAGTGAGTTATGTCTGCCAAGGTGTTAAACATATTGCAGAGCTTGTTGAGTAGCAAGGGCATGATGTAGATGGGTATTATTCTGCTGGAAAAGCACATTATCTTTCTGTTGCAGAAATGGTAGTAGAATATGTTGAACAATATTCTGGGTGTACATGGTACTGCTTAATGTTCCCTCCTTAAACATTTAAAGGCAAATGAGAGTTATATCCATATACCATCATTTCAGAAATTGGGCCTGTGTGTTTTGATGGGTGAATATTCTTTAGAACATGTTTCTCCTCAGATCTATATTGCATATATAATCATCACTTGCATGAAGGTAAAATCTGATTTTGTCACTGAACATTATAAAAAAACAAAAATTTAATACCCCTTATGAACTTCTTACAACACCTCCGGAGGCATATCTAATAGTATTATGATATGATATGAGATGATGAGACATTTGTGCGCATAGTGCTGCTGAAAATAAATAATTCATATTGATTCATGGTGGCATCCCTTGCTACCTTGTTCATCCAGCCATCACACAGAAAAGGACCACAATTTTCATCCATTTGGGAAAGTTGCAGAACCTGAAAGCAGTTGATGTTTCTTTTTATCAGTTCTTCTTTAACTGTAGTGTGCAATGTCATTTTAGGATCCTTGAGGTACCTGGTTTAGGGCAACTTTAGTGACTGTCAGTTAATCACAGGACAAAGCCAGTGAATTGTATCCACTGATCTGCCACCATTACACTAATGTTTCTAAAATTTGCACATCTTAGCACTTTCTTGTTCCTGATTCTGTCTCTCCAAGACATAGGATTTCTTTAGGATTTTGTAAAGGTGTTTTAAATGGAAAACTTCTAAGAGTTAGATGACTTTTGTGATGGATTTCCAAATTTACATGCAAATAAGGTGGCACGCATACTTCCTTTGATCTTTGCTGTGGATGTCCTGGCAATCATCTGTCATAGTGTCCATTACATTGTGCCAGTCTTGTCAAGCATCTTTCCTACAAAGCCTTCAGAATCTGATCTATAGTTGTAAGTATTTTTATTTGATCAGTTGCTAATACTGAAGCACCACCATTGTATTGCATACAATATATATGCACAGCAATTTTCTGAAGTGACTCAACTTCTCGAAGCCCTAAACCCACAACCTCTCAAATTGCTCTAATTAAATAAATGGAGCATATATGTGTCTCTGTAGTATGAAACCTGATTGCACTGAAATCTTTCACAACACCAAACTTTAGTACAGTATGCATTATCATCTAAAACTTAGACAGAGATGGTGCACTAGTATGAGTGTTACTATATCATAAAACAGCTGAAGATTTTATTAGAATATCAACTATATCTTATTATACACATGCCATGATAAAAGTTCTGTAATCCATTAGAGTTGTAGGAGTACCACATTCACTACAGCCATAGCAGCAGTGCTTTTCTATAGCAAGATAACTTGATAGAGCCCATCTCTATTTGGGCTGGTTTTACATTCAGTTTTCCTTCTCCTAGACTGGTTGCCACCTCAAGGCAAGAAAGACCAGTTAGTTTTTAGATATTTAATAATCATTTCTGAAGCAAAAGATGAATGAAATGAAAAGCTGAAGTTTATGTTTGGAGTTTACAGTTTAATTATTTACAGGAGTTAATATCAACAGTATATCAGCTGTCATCAGCCGCTTGTTCTTTTCATTTCTAACTTTTGTATGACATTAGTTTATCCACTGCTTTTAATGGGAACCAAACTTTTATAATAGTCAAATAACATTCTTTATACTACCAGAGATTTAAGAAAAGCCAGAATTTTAGAATGGGACTGCTACATTGGTAGATTATCACTTGGAGGCTTGTGGCAGTGAAGTTTGTCTGTTATCAATTATTTAAGGTGTTACCCATTTACTTATTGATTCTTAATTTTCTTCATCCTATTCTAAAGCATGTATTGAACAAAATTTGATTGAACCTGGTAATTAATACCTTTTAATTTTTAATATTTCAGGGGAGAGCATAGAGGCTGTTCGCAGTATCAGCCGTCACATTCAGCAGTTACGGAACAATGGATTGGGTTTAGCTCAGGTAAGATATATTTTGTTTCTCATTTTACCCGCTATTGATTTTTTTAAAACCTTTTTATTATTTTTTTCTTTTAAGTGAATACAAAGTTAAATGTTTTTCTTTATTTCAATTAATTGACACTTTCAGCACATTTCTCTAAGTTGCTTGTATTAACAATGTTTCTATAGATAATGAAACTGTTTTCAAATTAATTTGAGTGGGGATATTGCCTTCTACTCTTGCTACCTTTTTAAAATCTTTCATTATATCTTTTAATAAGTCATCAAGCTGTGAAATTATGTATTTTGGATTTCAAGTTCAATCTAAACTGTCATGTTAATGACTTATCGCACATACTTTTCAGAAAATGAAACTTTATTTTAAGCCAAAGAGAGTAAAGAATTTTCTATTTAAAGTTGTTGGTTTCAATTTTTTATATATACATACATTTCATATATATAAAAGCACACACACACAAACATGCACTATCTAGGATATCTTCATACTTATATATTTATAAGTCTACCATTCATCCATGCTTAGGATATTGCTGCCAGATATGGTTTAGTGCTCTTGCCATATATTTAGAGATCCTTTATAAAATCCAGAGAATGTCATTGGTCATGAGCTAGCATCTCAACTTCAGTTACTTTCCTACTGCCATTAATATATCTTTGTGCCTTTTCTATAAATACTTTCACAAAAGAGTTGGTTGCGTGTGGTGCAGTAAGCACCAGGAGTTACATCCCTTCCACAAAAAAAATTGCTCCAAGGAGCTGCATTCGCTGGTTCCCAGACGTCATGAGTTCCAAC